ATTATATATATATATATATATATATATATTATAGATATATAATGTATATATATACAATATTAAATGTTAAGTATACATTTTTTAAAAGAAAGTAATATATAGGTAGATCAATTTAAAAAAATATGAAAATAGTAGCTATATTATATTATATTATATTATTGCGGATAATGTTTGCCTTGGACTGACTACTGAATATATATATATATATACATGATATATATCATTTATATATATATACATATATGATATAATAAAATAAACAGTAGTAGCAATGAAATATGTATTTCTACTTTTAATATTAATATGAATTCTAGGGAGATATAGTCTGTATTGGGAAAGTGTGTTCCACAAAGAATTTTTTTATTTAAATGGAAAGATAGAAATTTATTACTTTCAAACATTGTGCCTAATCAAGAAACTACACAGAGTGTTTCACATTGCAATGATATTTTGTTCACTTATGTTTAAGCACGACGGCGTATAATATACACATAATTAAATTTTTCTCTTTGTGAATTATAGATTAATAATATCAAATTATTTAATTATCGTTTTTATATAAATTTCTTTGTTTTTTATAAATAGAAATATTGATATATAAATTCCACTTATATCATACTATGAACCGATCCAAAGTTATAAATTGAAAGATAAAATTTGACTAATGAGACTGCTGCGTTTTTATTTTTTACTTTTAGAAATAAATATAATATATATATATAACGCAGAAATGTCATAAAACAGAAAAATAAGAAGTTTCAATTGGTGTATGTTAATGTCAGAAATTCAATACATAATTTTGAATGTAATATATATACTTCACTTTAATAATATTTTAACTTACTTTGAGAAGATGAAAGTTATACATTTTTAAACTAACAAGTATCAAACAAAAATTTAAGATATTGAATTTTTCTATAATAAATTTCAAACTTTTCAATAATAACACGAGTGAACTGAAAAATAATTTTACAAATATTTATTAAATAAAATTATAAAATTATCTTCAACATTGGAAGCAAGGCATACTATGCTAAATTATTCGTGTTATATTAAAGTATATTAATATATTCTTCATACCCAAGGAAAAATCATATCAGTTATCTAGATAATATACCGTATATATTTTTTCTCTAGATTCGTTTGTATATACATTTATTTTGTAATATTTCATGTTAAATAGTATTTGGAGATGTGATATTATTATTACGGACAGCTATATTGCAATGTATGTATTACTTATTTTAGATCCCTGACTGGATATAATTTTATTTTCATTTGCAAATAACATCTTTATCCTAAAATTTAAATACCACAATTTTTAAATAATATAAAATAACTTTGTGGTTAATATTATCTTTAAGAAAATGTTATGTACTATGTGTGTATAGTACATGTATAATTGAATGCAGCTTTTTTAAAATTTATATGTTACTCTATTAATTAATTAATTAATTAATTATTTTCAATTTAATGTAATGAAAAATGTATTGAACTTAAAAAATATGTAATATTATTTAAAAATTCTGGTATACATTAACTTAATATAAAAAAGTAAGGAATTAAGAAAAGAAGTAAGCATTATAATAAAGTAGTTGTAACACATGTTGATTACATAAGTTGTTACATGTTACTTTAAAATTGAATCAAACATCTAGAAACAAAATGCAAGAGCAAATTGTCTGCTGCATGTGCTCTATAGACTGTGCATCAATTATTGCTTAAAACTATTTGCTTAGGACATAGTATAATTTAAAGAAAAAGCAATTGTACTTATAACTATGTGCAATTGTTAAATCTTGTTTATAGTTCATATTTAATAAATCTTTTACTACAATTTTTCAAATACGTGTTCTCTGTGGAATGCTAACATAAGACAATAATATATTTAACATGCATACACATAACAGCAAAATAAAAAATATAAAAATATTATGTAAAATATATTTTATTTTTTTGGATTTTCAATAGTTAAAATTGATTTAATAATGTTTTTATTTATTTAAAAAATGAAGAAATTTTATTATTAATTATTATTAATTATTAATTTAATATTTTGATACTATGTCCTACATATTTCTGATATATTCTACTTTTATCAAATCATGTATCTTACATAAAATTTAAGCCCTACCAAAATAAAAAAGTTATAATAGCACATTATTGTGTAGGGCCATGCAGAAGAACATAAAAAAAAAATAATATTATCGAATAAAATGTTCCTTACAAAATGCACGCAGGATAGAAAATTAGTATGTATGTGTCTATTGCATTATTATATAACATTGAAAGCGGTGGTGACTTTAAATGAATTAAGTTATTGAACAAAACATTGAATGATTAAAATTTATTTTATTGCAATTCCTAGAATTATTGCGCTTAATTATATTCATATGTTACATTAATGCTTTGTCATAAATAATGAAGAAAAATTTTAATTTGTATTTTTGACAAATGTATTATTTCACTAAAAATTTATTTTTTAAAAATTAAACAAATTCTCTGTTTTTATACTACACTCTGTGTAATGTGAATTTTGTAAATTTAAATATTGTTTTAAGTATATACATTATGTACAGTAAGATCTTATACTTGCCAAGTATATTATTTTTTGTGTAAATAATTCGCATAAAGAGAGAAGTTTGTATTGTAAAAATAGTAAAGTCTCAGTTACATATATCATTTAAACAATTAAATTTACTAAAAATTAATTCTTTAAAAATTTTATTTCTTTTCTTATAAAATATATATTATGATAATATTTCAATTTTTATTTATTTTCAAAATTATTTCTGCATTTTTATGTTATCAATTAAATTCAAAATAATACTGAAAATGATTTTTTGTTCTTTCTTATTATGAATCTGGCAAATATTAATATATATTCATAAACAAAATTATTCACTTATTGTGTATTATAAAGAATGTTATATAATTATTATAGTTCAGTCTGAGTAAGAGGGACCACAGTACCACATGTTAAAATGAATTTATCATTTATATATTTTAAGATGTTTTAGGAGATTACTTATGTTTGAAAATATCAATTTATTTAATCTATGCATTTATAATTTTTTTAATATTTCAAAAATTAAATTGAAAATCTGATATATTATGTAAAATTCTATTATAATGTTAATGTTTAATTCTATTATTTATATGTTATATATATTTTTAATTGTATATTGAACGTGGTAATCCTCTAATACATCTTAAAAAATGATGATTTTTTATTTATATGTATAAAATTATTCACTTATATATCAAAATCTAACAAAAATATATAAAAAAAAAAACATTAAATGTTGCTTCAGTATTTAAATACACACGTCGTCTTAATTTATGCTTTCAATGTAATTATATGTACAGTACAACAAATTTTGTTACAGCTTTATGTAATATATTAAAATAACGAAATTCATTTTATTCTTATAATATAATTTTAATGTGAAACACTTTCTCATCAATTTCAGAAATAGCCAACTTATGTTAATATGTGCATTAATATAAGATATGTACAATTTGCATCTTTACAAAATTGTATTATGTTTTGTTACCCATCAGTATTGAATAGATTGTATATGTGTAATAGATACATGTATATTAAAATCATGCACGGATAATTAGAAATTAATTAAAAGAATAAAAACAGTCGTGAGCGGTACTCGTAAAAAACTATTTGCAAGTTCATCACAGATGAACAATGCGAAATTATAAAAAAATTTAGAAAAAATTATAAATATATCCTTTTTATTTATAAAGAGGAAATATTGAAAAAACATTATTTATACTTTTCTTGAGAAAGAAAATAATAGAACATTGTCGAATAAAAATATAAACAAATAGAAAAAGATCTGGTAAAATCTAATGTTTGTACTTATGAAACAGAAATAATTAATCTTGCTAGAGAACGCTGCGAAATACGATTAATTTTATTTATCAACAAGTTATTTCTTTATGCTATTGAAATTGACTCATAAGTTACGAAATTGTTCACGTATCAAATATTTCTTACTAGTTTTTAAGTTAATAAAAATAATGCAGCATAATGTTGTATTTTTCAAATATATGTATTATTATTTTAACCTATAACATTTCCATTTTATTTTAATTTTTTATACATACAAGCAATATATTTCGGTACATATAATATTTTTAATATATAAAATTAATGTTTATTTGATTTTAATTATATATATGATTTTGATTGTAACAAAACTTTGTTATTAATTATATATCGTATATTATAACAATAATACACTGTAAATATCTACCTAATATATCTTACGATTTAAATTTACTTATATATACATTTACACAAATTAAATTAATCTATATTTCTTTGTTTCATTTAATGTTAAATTATCATATAATATTGATAATTCATTCTAAAATTAATAAGGAAAACAATAACAACAAATTATCTTTTATAAAAATTTATACTATTAATTCTAGTTAAATTTATAGTTAAAATTGTAATCTTTTTGCAAGCGAAGCACCATCCATTGATTCCAATAGTTTTCTTTTTAGACTAGGTTTTTCTTCAGGTTGACGTTTTACAGATGTAGGAAGAGGTAATCTAGGTCCAGGAGTTGGTGCTGGTTTATTGCTAAAGTATGGCATTTGGAGAGCTTGATCACATGTACATCTTTCCAAAGGATTTACATTTAATAAACTAGCAATTAAATCTAAGAGATCATCACCAGCTGCAGTAAATATATGTTTTAATGGTGTACCAGGAAAAGGTTTAAATTGAATAAAATCTGGTAATTCAGTCATTCCTGGCCATGTTTCTTCAGTGGGAGTTCCTAATGTCTGAAAATCATACATATAGATATATCAAAACAATATAATAATAATTTCATTTAAATAGTAATAAAGATGATACTTGAAATATTCTAGTAAGCTGATCCAAATCTGACTCTCCAGGTAAAAATGGTACACGTAATAAAAGTTCTGCTAATATACAACCAACTGCCCACATATCAATTCCAGTTCCATATAATCTTGCACCATATAATAATTCAGGTGCTCTATACCATCTTGTTACTACTTGATGGGTATTTATTCGATTAGGTGAACCAAAAAATTTAGCCAAACCGAAATCACCAATTTTTAAAACACCCTCAGCATTAACAAGTAAATTGTTTGGTTTTAAATCTCTGTGAAGTATCCAATTATAATGTAAATAATCTAAACCTTGTAAAGTTTGAATCATATATGCTTTAATATTTGCAGCTGTTAATACTATGTTGCTATCTTTTATTATTATTTCCAAATCTGTATCCATAAAGTCAAATACTAAAGAAACATTTGACTTGTGACCAAAAACATCTAAAATATCAATATTATAATATATTGATTATATAATATAAATCCTTATATATGATATCATATGTATATGATTCTACCTAATAAACCTATCACATTATCATGTTTTAATTCTTGTAATAATTTAATTTCTCGTAATGCAGTCCTATTTATACCATCTCTAGCTTCTGCACGACTTCCAACTTTAATCTGAAATTGTTATTAAAAATATTCCAAAACTTAATGTTTGATTTATATATAAATATATTTCAAAGTAAAGAACCTTTTTCACAGCAACAATCTTAGACGTTTCGATATCTTTAGCCTTATAAACAGTTGCAAACTAAAATGAAATTTAATATAAATATTTTTATTATTATATATTAAAAAGGAATTTAATTAAATTTTCACTAACCTGTCCTTCTCCTAAAAAATCAATTTTTTCATATCTTCGTAATTTTTCCGTCATATTTTATTTATTATCTTTATTCTTTTTTAGAAAATCTATTATATATTTAATTTATTAAAAAATATTTTATAATAAAAAAACAAATATATTATTTATTAATGTACAAATAGATATGTTTCATTTATAATAATTTCAAACGAAGCGTATAGTTAAATCCAAACTTTATGATGTTTAATACTTAATATATATTACGGTTATTTGACAGTTTATACATATATGTTGCAATTACAAATATAATATAAATCTATCACAAATAAAATTTTATATTTTATGTTTTGAAATAATTAATTTTTTTACATTATTTGTTTATTTACTATATGTATTATTCTTTAAAAAATAACTATATAGTTATATATACGAGAGTCATTAATCTTGATAATCTATAAAGAATTAAAAGATGATTAAAAACATTTAATTTTTATATTCTATTTTATTTACATATAACGGATTATTTCAAATTTATGAATAAAAGTATTTGACAAATTTTCATATAGTTAAAAGGTCAGTATAGTAACTTATTCTAGTTTCATTTCATCCTAATTTAAAATTTCCTTATCATTTTAATATCATTCTCAACATTTGATTATTCAAAATAACATTGTAATATTAATAATAAATAGAATTGAGATTTCAATATAAAATTATAAAAAATAAAACAAATATCTTTAGAAAAAATGAATAAATATTTATAGAATATCTTATAAACATATTTGAAATGTTGTATTTTATAAATAATTATATTTATATAAATTAATTTTGAAAAATATTGAAAAATAATTGAAATAATGGTTCTACATCATTATTTATATTTATTTAAATTGAAAAACTTTTTTTAAAAAATATACATATTATTCATAATTTATCTTTTATCACATTTTATGATAAATAATCGATTTGAGTATTTTTTGTTTTAAAAAAATAATGTATATTCAATTAATGATTATAACATAGCTTGCAAAATGTAACTCAAAATATCTTAGAGAAAATAATTTTATTATTTCATCAAAACAGAATTTTTATAGATTTTAATCTAAGAAAAAAATAAAAATCAATAAATTTTCATTTTAATTTTTAATATAATTTTAAATGTAATTTTTGCAATTTTTATTTTACTACAATATTGTTAATCAATTTATAAATAATTTATATTACAATTATATTATAATTACAAAATGGTTCTAGTTCAAGAAACATTGAAAAGTATATTTTTGATTTGATCAGAATTCGAAATTTTTTTTTATATTTTGTAGAAAAAGATAACAAGTGAAAGAAAAACAAGGCATCAGGCGAAATAAATGAAAATTTATAAAATAGACATAACATTGGGATTTTTTGTGTTATATTCATTATATTAATTAAATATCAATTATGCAAAAAATCTGAGTGTTTGATATATTATCTATAATTTAGAATGGTGAGCATAGAAATTTTATTAAATACAATCATTAATATTTCTCTTAGCAACGCTGCTTTCTCTAATCATACGTGATATATGATTAAAATAAGAATTGTAAATATATTATTTTTACATTATTAATAATAATAATTAAACAATAATTAATATTAATAATAATAATAATGCCTATATCTTTATTATATTATATTTATAATACTTGAACATCATATATTTGTATAGTACACAATACAAATAATTATGTAAATAAATATTTTACTTATAGGTTATAATTATAAATATATATTTTAAAAATATATATAATACTTATAAAACATTCAACAATTAAAAGGATTTTATATATTATAAAATTTATAGAATTTATTAAATGTTTTATATTATAAAATATAATAAATATAATTTAAATCTTTTCCGTTTTATAAGATTTCAATACGGTAAGTTTAATATATCATATAACGTGTATATAATATATATCTATAAAAAGAAATTAAAAAAATATATATAATAAATAATGATAAAAAATAGATAAGAATTAATACAATAAGTTATAAATGATAAATATTAAGTTTAATATTAATAATAAATAAAAATCTATTTTTGTAATTAATTATTAATTTATAAATCTATTTATTTAATTAATTATTAATTAATTTAATCTGTCATTATATTAATTATATGTAATTAATTTTAGACAATATTTTTTATAAAAATATGTCAATAGAATCTAATAAACAAATTGAGAATGTTATTGAAGAAACAAATAAAAGACAAATTATTGATGAAAGTTCTGAAATTGTAGCAAAAGCACCAAAGTTAGATATAGTACAAAAGAAAAATAATGTAATAAATATAAATAATAAAAAAAAAATTAAAAAGAAAAAGTTTGTGATAGTTTTAGGTTATCTTGGTAGAAATTATTCTGGTATGCAAATTAATCGTGGTATAAAAACTATTGAAGGAAGTTTATTATCTGCTTTGTTAAAAGCAGATTTTATTACAAAGCATCAATTTGAAGATTTAAGAGAAATTAAATTTCAAAGAGCTGCTCGTACAGATAAAGGTGTATCAGCAGTTAGACAAATTGTTTCTTTACAGTTGCGTAAGTATTATATTATTTATTTCATGTTTCTTAATAATTAAATTAATCTTAAAAAAATTTAAATAATAATTTCATAATAATCATTTGTAGCTAATCATGTAAATAAAGAAGATATAAATAAACATCTTCCAAAGGATATCAAAGTATTTGATATAAAGAGAGTAACAAAAAATTTTAATAGCAAAAATAAATGTGATGCTAGAACATATAGATATGTTCTTCCTACATTTGCTTTGGCTTCAGAAGATTTAAGTTTCTTACAAATGGATAAAGAAGAAGAAATAAATGAAGAGAAACGACTTGAAAAACTTTCTATGATAGATGGAAAACCATATAATGAATTTCGATTAACTTCAGATATGCTTGATAAGTTAAATGAAATTTTAAAATTATTTGAGGGTACACATAATTTTCACAATTTTACATCAAAAATGTAAGTTATTTTATATGATATAACTTTAGTATGTTATTTCTTTATTACTTCTTTATATGTATTATTTAATATTATTTAATATTAAATAACTTTAGAAGACCAATGGATCCAAGAGCTAAACGTTATATAGTATATTTTCGCTGTATTGAAACATTTATTGCAAATAATATGGAATTTGCAGTATTAGAAGTGCAAGGACAAAGTTTTATGTTACATCAAATTAGAAAAATGATATCTTTAATAATAGGGATTTGTAGAAATATTATAACAATCGATTTTTTCAAAGATGCATTTTCATTAGAAAAAGTTGACATTCCTATTGCACCAGGTTTAGGATTGAGTTTACATTTTGTAAGATATTTTTATATTTTAATATTTTAATATGTGCACATATATATATGCATATATATCTCAAAAAATGTTGGAATATCCATAAATTGATTCTTAAGATAATTTTAAGCAACATTTTCTTTTATAAAAACTTTCGTTTATTAACTAATTATTAATAAAAATTATTAGTAAAATTATTAATAAAATATTAATAAAAATACTGGCCAATCAGGAAGCACTTAGATGAACTGTAATAATTATAATATTAATTATGTACTATGTAGTATACTACCGGCCGAAGACGAACAAGCAATATATCTCGAAATATATTAAATATTATATTTATTTATTTATTCATTCTTTGTGATATAATTCTATATAATTTTTTATCGATAAAAAATTTTTGTTATATTCAATATTTTTTATTCGAAATATATTATTTAAACTTGTTTATACTCGGTCGACAATGCAGTCTACTGCATTCGACTAGACTATACACTTTATGATTGGCCAATATTTTTGATTAATAATAAAGTGATAACAAAAGTTTTTGCAAAGGAAAATTTTGCTTGAAATTATCTCAGAAATTTCCAGAAAAATGTTTCAACATTTTTGGAATATCTTATATATATTTTCAAAGTTGTTAAATTAAAATTTTTTAGGTACATTATACATATTATAATGAAAGATTTGGAAAAGATGGATTTCATGAAATGTTAGATTGGAATGGATGTAATGAAGAAATTGAAAAATTTTATAAAGAATATATTCTAAAGTATATAATAGATACAGAAATATCAGATAAAGTGTATCCTTTTCATATATATATATAATATATAATATATAATTATTTATTACATAATTTATTATATATAATCTATTTTAATTTATTTTAATACAGAATACTTTATTAAAAAATATTTACCTTAACCAGTGTAATATAGAATATTATATTGGTTGGTATCATTTCTGACACCAAAAAGATTTATATTTAAAGAACCTATAGCATAATGTAATATATATATATATATCATATATATTAAGATCATTGTATTTCTTTATCAAAAATATATTAAATATATTTATTAATAAGTACCTTAATTCATTCAATTATGTTTTAAAATTTGATATTATATCCTTAAAAAATTTAAAATTAATATAAGATATTCATTTTTCATTTTTATGTTTATAAAACATTTTGTTATTTTTTGTACTATTTATCAAATAGTATAAAGTATACATTATTTCTGTCTCGCTTTTATGTATTAGCTTCAGATAATATATATTCACATTTCGTATTTTTCTTCACGAACATGCACGTAGACAGATATAAATACTTGTTGCTTCAATCTGGTAATTCCAAAGTGATTCAAGATCATTAATAGTTATTAAAGAGTTAAAAAAGTTCTTACTTTTTTCTGCAATTTTTTTTAATACTATGAAAAATACAATAATTACAATCATTTTAATAACTAAATATAGTAAGTAATTTTCTAAAATCTTATAACATTTTATTTAATATTAAATTAGAAGTATCTAATATATAATTAATAATTTAATAATAAAATTTGTTTACATTAATTAGTTTTTATATTAACATATAATATTTTATATATAAATTTTTAATAATATATTTATTATTTATATTTGCATTAAATCAAAATAAATACGTTTATATCTATTTTGTGTATATATATATGCATGGTGTATGCATACGTATATATAGATGTATATTCATACATAATGTTAAAATCATTATACATATATCTATAAATATATATTTAAAAATTATTTTGAATATAAGATTAAT